CTCCCGCCATGGCCACCGCGCGGGCACCGGCGGTGCGCGCCGGGGCCCGGCCCCCCGAGGTGAGTGTCTGGGAGATGGGGGCGGCTCCGGGCCCGTTCCCCGCAGGAGCGGGAGAGGCCGCGGGGGTCGCAGCTGCTGTCGCTGTGTGGGGTTTACGATGCTCCGGTGACACCAGAGCGATTTAAAGGAGCCCTAAGGCTCAAGTGTTTTCCTGCGTTTTTACACAATTCTGATTGTTCTCCCGGGAAGTTTGTGTGAGGCTCCCCTTCGGATGGGTTCACTTTCCCCAGCCTTCCAGGGAGGGCGCTGGGAGCTGGAGGATGGCATTGCTCCAGCTGTGCTGGCACTCAACAGGAGGAAAAGCTTCGTGTTCTAAAGCTTTTTCAAAAAACGCTACAGATAAGAAATAATAAGGACACAACATTGCCTGATTTAAGCAATTTAATGTGGTATTTTAGTTTTGCACCTTGGCCTTCGGGCAAAAACTTCAATATCCAGTGGCTGCTCCATCCATGGAAGTGTCCCAGGCCAGGTTGGACAGGATTTGGAGCACCTTGGAATAGCAGAAGGTGTCCCTACCATGGCTGGGGATGGAATTGCATGGGCTTTAATGCCTCTTCCAACCCAGGCCAGTCTGGGATTCTGAGACGGTCCTTGCGCAGTGCCTGTGTTTTCCTGGCACAGCTGGGCTCTGTGGCATAGCCAGGCTGTTTGTTGGCTCCTCTGTCCCCAAACACACTCCACACTCTGCCTCTCCTGCAGCCCCCCAAGGCCAAGCCTGCAGAGGAGGGCGAGGCACCCCCGGCCAAGCGGGCGCCCATCTTCTACGGGAGCCTGGAGGAGAAAGAGCGGGAGCGCCTGGCCAAGGGCGAGTCGGGGCTGCTGGGCAAGGAGGGCATGAAGGCTGCCATGGAGGCTGGGAACATCAACATCAGCAGTGGTGAGGAGTGCAACCACCCTTTGTTATCCCTCCCCGCAGATGTGTCACTTCCAAATGTCTCTGCTTGCTCTCTGGGCATCACCTCGAGCCAGTCAGGGATGGGTGTCTCCTTGCTTGGATCTTCCCATTTAGGAGGGATCTGGGGGCAGAGAGGTTCTGGAACAGGGAGGGTGTGGAGTGTCTCTCTCTGGAGACATCCCAAACCCCGCTGGACATTGCTGTGTCACCTGCTGTGGTGACAGAGCTTGGCAGGGGGATGCAGTGGGTGATGTGCAGAGGTCCCTCCCAGCCCCAGCTGTTGTGTGAGCCGTGGTGGCTCTGTGTGCTCAGGGTGTGTCTTGTGCCCAGGGGAGGTGTTTGACCTCGAGGACCACATGAGCGAGCGCCAGGCCGAGGTGCTGGCAGAGTTCGAGCGCCGCAAGCGCGCCCGGCAGATCAACGTCTCCACGGATGACTCCGAGGTCAAGGCCTGCCTGAGGGCCCTGGGCGAGCCCATCACGCTCTTCGGAGAGGGGCCTGCGGAGCGCAGGGAGAGGTGCTGTGTCTGCAGACAGGGAACGGTCACTCAGCCAATCCCTCAGGTTTTGCTGGGAGCTGGGGTGCAGCGAGCCCTGCCAGGCAGCAGTGCTGTGCCACCAGGCAGCTGGGAGAGCTGGGGGTGCTCAGTCTGGGGAAGAGGAGCTCCAGAGAGAAGTTAGAGCCCCTGCCAGGGGCGAAAGGGGCTTCAGGGGAGCTGGAGAGGGCCTTGGGACAAGAGATGGAGACACAGGATACAGGGAATGGCTTCCCACTGTCAGATGGGATATTGGGAGTGAATTGCTCCCTGGGAGGGTGCGCAGGCCCTGGCACAGGGTGTCCAGAACAGCTGTGGCTGCCTCTGGATGCCTGGAAGTATCCAAGGCCAGCTTGGATGGGGCTGGGAGCAGCCTGGGACAGTGGGAGGTGTCCCTGCCATGGCAGGGGTGGGACACGATGGGCTTTAAGGTCTCTCCCAACCCAACCCAGTGTCAGTTTCTGTTCTAAGAACCTCAAGGCAGAGGGAATGTCACACTGGTATTTGTAAGGTGAGCTGAGAATTCACTGACTAAATCTGGCTTCATGATTTCTTTTTCAGGTTAAGGAACATCCTCTCGGTGGTCGGCACAGATGCGTTAAAAAAGACCAGGAAAGATGATGACAGGTCAAAAAAGTCTAAAGAAGAGGTAAAGGTGTCTCTTGTCCTCTCAGTGCTGAGGGAGGGATGGTATATCCAGGTCTGATATATCCAGGACTCCTGGCTTTGGCCAGCCTGTGGATTTTCATGTCATCCCTTCAGGGATGTGTTGCCCATTTCTGCAAACCTGTGGCAATGTCTGGTCTCAGTGAGGAGCACCAAGAGTGGCTTTTACTCACAGACCAAGCTCTGTGCTGCACTCAGTGTGCAAACCAGGAGAGCAGGTGTGTGGGCTCTTACCTACTGTAGCAAGTCCCTTACTTGGGAAGAAAAAAATTCCTGCTGCTGCATTTGTTTCTGCTTCAGAACTCCTTCTGTTTCTGTCTCTCTTCTGAGTCTATTTTATTTTATTATTTTTGAGCTGTAGTGTAAAAAATAATTTCTGCAGCTGTGGGCTTTCTCTTTACTGGGTGATGTGTAAACAAGGAGGGGGTTACATGTCAGCAAATGCAGATGAGTCAGGGTTCAGCTGGAATGTTGAGTGAAGTGGCAGCATGTCAGGATTGGATATGTAGGGCAGAGAGTTTGATTTATCTCTCCAAATCCCTTTTCCTGGGGCTTACAGTTCTGCAGAAGGCCCTTAAAAATAAGCAAGAGCATAGCAGGGTTTGGGGGCAGGTGCTGGGAGGAGTTGAGGGGAATGAACGCAGGGGCAGCAGCACCAGAGCTTTTCCATCCGTTTTTTATTCCTGTTTTTACAGTATCAGCAAACCTGGTACCACGAGGGCCCACGCAGTCTGAAAACAGCCAGGCTGTGGCTGGCCAACTACTCACTCCCCAGGTGAGAGAAAACAGCACAGAGAAGGAGGGAGGTGCAGCCATTTGTCAAATCCAAGTGCAGATCCCACTGTGGGTAGCACAAGA